GTCTGTGCATATAAGTTTAAAATCTAAACAGATTTTGGTAAATGTTAGGAATTTGGAATTCTTACATTTTTCGATAAGGATTTGGGAGTGTGAAATTAGAATCATTGAAAGTACGTTCAATCGATCTATTTCACAAAGTAAGGATCATAGACAAACATAAAGTGCATACTTGATGTATTACAAAGCTATTGTTTAGAAAAACATAGTGTACATGCTTGGAGCATGGGACAACTAGTGTTTTCTAAATTCAAGTATAAAGTTGATAAAACCGAAACAATGAATAATGAGTAATCAGTATGGTGATAAATAAAAAGTGTTTTATTTATATTCATAGTTTGATACCATATTAGATTCATTTATTTTTGTGTTTCATTTTGCATGTTTTGACTTCCAGAATAAACTAGGTTATTCTTCCTGAATGACTAAGTTATTCAAACCATCCACAGTCGGTCGTATGTTGGAAGTAGATATGAATCAATACTGTCATGGGTTGGCTTGTAGAGGTCCAAGTTGGTGGACAAAGTGGTGCTACAACACTCATGAGTGCTCATAAGTTCTGAGTATTGGATTCAACCCGCGCTCATTTGAATCACTTCATGGATTTTATCACGAGTGATCATGAGACGATAATATCGTATATTCTTCAAACCTAGATATATGAGTTGTTACTATGAGTTGATAGTACATTGATTGCACGAAAACGCATTGGTAACTCGATGTTATAAAACGTGCGTTTGTGTATGATTCAACAAGTAGTAGAACAAGCCATATGAGTCGAAGTTTATCCATTCCTTTTACCTTCGGAATAAAAGCGATATCTGTGGGCCCCTCGATGATTTAGCGATGACACATGTGAGTGCTTGGCCAAGCCAGGACTGATGTGATTTGTTCAATCAGTCAGTCATCATTAATCGGAAATCGGGAAACAACAGATGGACAGAGAGAATGATTTATAATCCATGTCTCAGTCCATATGATATCTAGAATGGAGGAATATATGATCCCTTATCTAATGGACAAGTCATTGACAAGGTCAGAGTTCAGTTACAAGGTCAGAGTTCGACAGCGGCTTTTGAGAGCTACGATTGTCAGTTGGTTCTTGAAGTCATACGAAATAATAGTTTTAGACTTATCCAAGTGGGAGACTGTTGGATTAGTGTCTAAGTCCATGACTATATTTGGTATGTACTTGACCCGACCAGGCATGGTCCATTTGGGTTGCATGGCATCATGCACTTGGATAGACTAAATGAGAGAAATAAGACACTTATGGTTATTAATATATTATAAGTTCTAATATATTAATAATAAGAATAATAATATTTAATTAGCATTGATCAAGAATTAATTTAGAATTAATTATGTGATCGAAAGAAGACTAATTAAATATATGGGTTGATTGTGTAAATCATCCATAACTTATATAGTGGGCCAAAGCTCCATGGATAATCAAGTTGGGTTAAACCCATAGGATGCTCCATGGAGGTTACATAACCCATGGGTCATGGAAACGAAAGGTCACGACAATTAGGGTTTACATGGTGTAACCCTAATTGTAACATATTATATAAGTATCATATTATTCACCAAAATTGGCACAAGTGTGGGAAAAAGAAGGGCTAGCCGATTTCTTGAAGTGTGGATTTCTCTCTAAGTTATTCCAAGAGCATTTGATGTTGTGTGAGCCATTTGAGGTGTCACATTTGAGGCACTAGGCACTCAAGCCCCATGGAGTCAAGCTACACTACAAAAGGTATCTATTATATCTATATTATTACCCAAGTATCTATGATTGTATGCTAGATAGGGTAATACCTTGGAATATTAGCATTTGCATGTATATTAGAGAAAACATAGATCCAAGGTATTTAGGGTTGCACGTACGCCATAGGAGTGTTAGAATGCTCAAAACCCAACATACAATACTAACAACTATAGGTTATATTATAGCATTAGATGTTTATACCCCATGTTTTATACTACGGAGAGGGATCACTCTTGAACAAAGTTTGAATCGTTAGGATGAGGCACTGGTGCCCCCCCCCCCCCCCCCCCCGAGTATTAATCCATATCTTGATCAAAGTTTGAATCGTTAGGATGAAGTGCCGTTGGGATTTCCTTTTCGTCTGCTAGTTAACTTTCACTAATTACATGCTTAATGGAAATTGTGACTTTAACTAAGGATATAGGTTATGAGCTTCTCTAGGCAATTTATTAACTAAGAAAAGACTAGGTAATCTCAAGCTTCTTGGATTGCTATAGCCAATTTAGAGATTCAATTACAAGTATTGCACTCTGAGTTCTAAGGATTTATTTACCAAGTGTTCAAGTGATGAAACCCAATGTCAACCATCTTTCCCCATTGAGTTACATCAAACTTTTGTTCTTGTTGAATTGTGATTTCTAAGTTTTAGTACAATTTTAGTTTCTTTAAACAACCAAAAGATTAAAACCGCCATTTTTACTTTATTTTAGTGTTGCAAATATTTATACACAAGATTTTCATAGAGTTATAAATTGAACGAATCTCCATGGATACAATCCTTTTACCACTATACGCTATTTTAGTGTAAGATTTAGGGTATTGATTTTGTTGGCCTCGACAACCACCAGTATCAGGTTAATTCCAACTTGAAACTTAGGTTTTATAAATTCTATGTTGATGATCTTGCCATTAACACCATGGCTAATGTGAGATACCACAAACCTTACCCATTTTCCAAAATCTCAATTCTCTAACACAATCATACACTTGCACTTGAAACCCATAAGGTTTTTGGCATAAAACAATCAAAAACCAAGGTTTTACAATGTCTGAGTTAATGATTATATATCATTGTCACTATGGTATATATGAGGCTCCTATCAATACTTACTTCTATCTATAAATTTCTCTCGCACAATCACACACATACACTCGAAATCCTTGAGGTCTCAAGTAAAAACAACTTGAACCATGATTGTAGCAATTTTGTGTTTATGATTCCAACCATTGTCAATATGGTTGTGATGAAATGCCAAAAACTTTACCCTTGTTCTGGTTATGAAGTAGAAGTGGAATGTTTTTATGAAGTAGTCATGTCATAATTCCAATGGATAATATTTCGATATTTGTTATATTTAAGGGTAGACTTAGTGATTACAAAAGTACTGCAAACTGAAATGACGTTTTTCTACATTGCGAGAAGGTCATTTGTGGTTATTTTGTGAAGAATCTTCTGTGAATTCATTGGTGGAAAACTATTTTATTTTCGTTGAAAGATTGATAAGCTAGAATATTCTAATTGGACTACACATAAGTGATGATGAGCGTGGGTGTAAATCTGATGTGGTGTTGGACGGCAATTTATTGCATGTTATTGGCGATTTATATCTCCAAATTTTCCGGTCATTTCAAATTCAAAATAGACATTTCTAATTCCCAGTCCATATAAATACCCAAATTGTCTACATTTATCTTCTTTATGCTATCAGACGTCAAGAACATTACAAGCACTTCTACACCATTCTTTAATTCTCAGAGTTATTATTTCAATCGCTCATAAATGGATTCGTCTGCTGATCATATTTCATTCATGGATCAATCGTTTTCATCTGTTTAACTCGTTGTAAAGTAGAATCAAAACTTGATAGCTGATCTTGATGCTGCAAAGTACTTTACTGTTGTTCAACCCCTAATTGAATGCTTGAATCATTCAATTTTGAAGAAGGCTTTAACTCATTATGAGGATGTTCCAATTTCAACATTGATTTTAGCTGTTTAACAACTAGTTAAAACAGAAAGATGGATGTGATGAATTTTGAAATTCAAAGGGACAAAACGGTGGTTACTAAGGCTGTTTTCTGCAAATTGATAGGATTACGTACTAGAGAGACGTATTTAAATCCTGATTTGGTTCCATCTTCAAGCATACTTAGGGTTTATCATCATGAGGTATAATTATGATATGTTTGTTCTATCGAAGTTTAAGAAGTATTGTTTGCCACCTGGCAAAAATCGACCCAACCCGCCAACCCAACCCGAACCCAACCCAAAATTAGCGGGTTGGGTTGAGATTTTCAACCCATTTAACGTAAATGGGTCCACCTGTCTAACCTATTTAATTAAATAGGTTGGGTTGGGTAAAAATTATCAACCCATTTTCAACCCGTCAACCCATTTAACTTTAATATATATATATATATATATATATATATATATATATATATATATATATTTAATTTAATAATTATTTGAATATTATCATGTATTAATCAAAGTATTAGTTTGTAAATTATAATGTTGCATTATTATTATCTATGTTTAATAAAATTCAATCCTAATTTTCATTCTTTTTTTAGCGCCGATAATACTGCTCACTCTCCAAAATCACTGTGAAACTAAACATTTTTAATGCTATTTGAGCAATTTATTTGTATTTATGAATTAGGATTGTGCTTTTGTCATAATTATGAAGTTTTATTTACGTTTTATAATTCAAGTGGTATAATATTTAATTATATAATTTATTTAATTGATTTTAAATGGGTTAATCCAAGTTTAACCGGTCTATTTAATAGGTTGGGTCGAGAACTACATAAACAGGTCAACCCGGTGACAACCCATTTATCTAAAAGGTTAGGTTGGGATGGAAATATCAACCCATTTAAATAAACAGGTTGGGTTGGGTTGAAATTTTCAACCCAATTATTAAATGGGTTGAGCCCGAACCCAACCCAGGTCGACACATTGCCACCTCTAGCCACCAGTTTGGAATGCGCTTTTCACTATCTTATTAAAGTGTTTTTCAGATCGTACTTCTAATTCTGATAATGCAAGCAAGTTGTTCCACACTCTGTTAGACGCTTTGAATATAGATGAGAAGATTGATTTAGGTTATATTCTCTGGGCTCAGTTCATCCAAATTCCTACATCTTCATCTAGGGATAAAAAGATTTATTGTGCTCTTTTTTGGTCAATAGTGTTGATAAATGCTAAAGTCCACTTCAAGGTTCCTCAAATGATAGATGTAGAGATGGCAAGTTTTTCTATGATGAATATTGTAATATTTGTGACAATGGATGAAAATAATTTTCATTACATCGATTCAGTTCCGGAAGTTATGGTGTCTAAAGTTCTAGCTAGCAACAGAATCATTGATATTTACAAGAAAATTCCCAAACTTGGTGACACATATATTTCACCATCTCTACAAGTAGTTTTGGATGTTGGGAATGTTCAACAAAGATCTGGTGTAAAGCGAAAGAAAAAAGTAGTTGAGGAAGCCCAGGCCTCAAAGGAATCTAAAGAAGAAAACCAAGGTTTCTGTGATTGATTAAGATGATGATGAAAACACAGTGAGTGATGTTCATATATAGGATGATGCTACCAATGAAGATAGTTCGATATATTTTGATCCTCCTCAAACAAAGGAGCAACCTACAACAACAGTGATGCCTACTCCACCTATGAATCCTAATACTTCGCAGATTCTTAAGGTATCTACTGTTTCTACCACAACTTGTAACATCCATCAAATTCATGAAAATTTAAAACTGTTTCTAGCATTCAAAAACCATTATTTATTACAAAATGTTTTCAAAATAGTTTCATATCAGAGTATCCCAGAAATCAAAATCATAAAATGCGAGGAGGTGCACGATCAAGCCTTCGCCTTCCCGCGATCATCCGAAGTACCTGAATCAAAATCCAAAAATGCAACCCCGAAGCTTAGTGAGTTCCCCCAAAATACCAACGCCATACAAACCATAACAATATCATAGCAAACAACATGCATATAGAGTCTCCAGTATGAATGGACCGCCCTCATCGGGCCTTCAGTCTGTCTAGCCCACTCTCAGAACCTTCAGCATGTCTGGTCCACCCAACCAGGCCTTCAACCTGTCTGGACCGTTCTCCGGACCTTCAGCCTGACTGATATGCCCCATTGAGCCTGTAGTCTATCCGTCCCGCCCTGGTATGTTGGCCTACAACACAAAGCAGGTCCGCCTTAACCCACCCCCAAAAATACAATCAACACATAGATAATAAATGCTAGCATATACAAACAGTCAGACCGATCGAACAGGTCACTAATCATAACATCATCCTATATACCAGGATACCGACCTAACAGGTCACTAAACATAGCATCATCTTATATACCAGGATACTGACCTAACAGGTCACTAAGCATATCATCATGCAATAACCAATATAACAATCCAAAAGGGCCGAAATTGGTGCCTTCGACCCTGTCAGTATAGTGAGGAAAACTCACCTCACAAGTAGTGCTGAACTGGACTGAAAGTCTCTGACCGCTGTCTCACCGAAAATCCCGAACTATCCAAAATAACGAATACTAGGTCAACAATTGGAATATCACTCTTGACCACGGGTCTACATAGGATAATAGTCTATTTTTCCCTTTCTCTGATTTGGGCTAAGGCCCAATTTCAAATCCATAATCCAAAAGTCCAAATATACAAGGCCCATCATTGGCCCAATTTTCCCAATTGGGCCTAACTCTTTAATTGGGCCTCTTCCTAAGATCCATTACCAAACTGGCCCAAAACACATCTATTCAAAAAATCCAGCAAGGCCCATGTCAAACTAGCCTGAAAGTGGCCCAATCCCGAAGCCCAAATCGCCAAAAGCCCAACAGTAGACGTACGTTGGGCGTACTCCGAACCTACGCGGGGCGTACACAAGCTTTATCAAAACTTCTAATAAGTGCTTAATGGCTTAAGCACTTAAGCCCAAATTCCATATCCACCAACCAAATGTGTCTTAGAACCATAAAGTATCAAACTTTAAGACTTTGGACGTCCAGAAAGTTCTTAATGCAAGGTCTTAATCCATTAAGACCTCTCTACCACTTGCATGAGACTCTTCTAGCCATTGGGACCTCATGTTTTTCACTTAGGACCCTTCCTAGAGTCTGAAAGGATAGCTTATCAAGTACAAAACACAAGCATAAAGGTTGGGACAAGAAAGGTGTCATAAAGCTATTAAGGCAAGATCTACATCATACAAGCATAAAGGTTGGGGCTTTTTACCTCTTCGAGCTTCTAGAGAACAAGATAACTTCAGATCTTCAAGCTTGCCTTCCTTATCTAACTGCTTGATGCAATACCTTCTTCTTCAATTACTCAAAACACACTCTTTACCAAAACCCCTTCGATGTTGCCATTGTACCTTCACCAAAGGTACTACCTTGTTCCTCAGGACCTTCACCTTTCTCTCCAATATAGCTATGGGCCTCTCAACATAGTTCAGGCGCTCGTCCACCTGAATGTCATCCAATGACACGACTGCATCCTCATCTAATATGTTTTCTTCAGCTCTCGAACCCACATACAGTAATAGCCAACTGTTGCGCATAACCACAAACACCCATGACTGGCCCCATCAGCCTCGGGCTGGAATATCAACGTGTCGAATCCAATCAACCACCAGATTGAAATTCTCAAGGTCTGTTGGCCTACCGCCTCAACCATACCGCTCCCCCGGAGCTTTCGTGCCTACGACTTACAGTCGGCCCGCACCGGGTATCTTGGCCAACTGTATAGAGCAGGACCACGTCAACCCTCCCAAATACAATGTGTCGCCATAGGAAATCAGGAGAAAGATCTAACCCGGTTCCCAGAACCTGAAACACAGGGACATTCTAACCCAGCAATCCTCGATTTCACCATCGATAACATCACACCTTTCGCCTGAAACTCGTGACTCGCACCACAAACCAAAAGATTCCCCATTTACCTCACTGAATTCCAGAATGCATGCAATCCACCCCCAAACATACAATCAACACATAGATAACAAATGCTAGCATATACAAACAGTCAGACCGATCGAACAGATCACTAATCAGAGCATCATCCTATATACCAGGATACCGACCTAACAGGTCATTAAACATAGCATCATCCTATATACCAGGATACCGACCTAACTGGTCACTAAGCATATCATTATGCAATAACCAGAATAACAATCCAAAAGGGTCGGCATTGGTGTCTTCGACCCTGTCAGTATAGTGAGGAAAACTCACCTCACAAGTAGTGTTGAACTGGACTGAAAGTCTCCGACCGTTGTCTCACCGAAAATCCCGAACTATCCAAAATAACGAATATTAGGTCAACAATTGGAATATCACTCTTGACCAAGGGTCCACATAGGATAATAGTCCATTTTTCCCTTTCTCTAATTTGGTCCAAGGCCCAATTTCACATCCATAATCCAACAGTCCAAATATACAAGGCCCATCATTGGCCCAATTTCCCAATTGGGCCCAACTCTTTAATTGGGCCTCTTCCTAAGATCCATTACCAAAACTGGCCCAAAACACATCTATTCAGAAAGTCCAGCAAGGCCCATGTCAAACTGGCCCAAAAATGGCCCAATCTCGAAGCCTAAATCGCCAAAAGCCCAACAGTAGACGTACGTTGGGCGTACTCCGAAGCTACACGGGACGTACGCGGCCTCATGTTGACTGGAAAGCGGGGACGTTGACTGTGTACGCAGGGCGTACTGATTTTACGTGGGGCGTACGCAAGCTTTACCAAAACTCTGATAAGTGCTTAATGGGTTAAGCACTTAAACCCAAATTCCAGATCCACTGACCAAATGTGTCTTAGAACCGTAAAGTCTCAAACTTTAAGACTTTGGACGTCCAGAAAGTTCTTAATGCAAGGTCTTAATCCATTAAGACCTCTCTACCACTTGCATGAGACACTTCTAGCCATTGGGACCTCATTTTTATCACTTAGGACCCTTCCTAGAGCATGAAAGGACAGCTTATCACGTCCAAAACACAACATGCACAATATTGGGACCTTTTTGGGACAAGAAAGGTGTCATAAAGCTATTAAGGCAAGTTCTACATCATACAAGCATAAAGGTTGGAGCTTTTTACCTCCGGGCCCCAAAGAACCCAGGCACTCGGCACGCCTTGAACTCCCGGAACAAGGGAGTTCGGGCCCCGACCTGGCCCGTAGCAATCTCGGCTCGAAAAGACCTGAGCCGCTCCTCCATAATATCCATCATCCCTCCTTGACGGTCCCGAAAATCACTGGGGTAGCATCAAGAATGCCCCTCGTAACCTTGGCTGCAATAAGCTCGCGCAATCTCTCGTCAATGGGCTCGGTAGCGTAGCCCGACCCAGATCCGAATCCTGATCCTGATCCTGATCCCCCTGCTCCATGACGTGTCATCACCATTCTGATCTGAAATACCAAAAGACAGAATGATCAAAATATCCAAAAAGGGGATCCCACCACACCGGTTCTCCTTAGAGTTTCTAGATCTAACATTAGTTCGAGTACAGGTCATTTTCTTTCAGTAGTAGGGGCCCAATACTACCTTCCACACGTACATGTACCCTCCCCAAGGCTCTACCTGATAACCCTAATTTGTCCCAGAACAAAAAATATCTCACAAGATACCGCATAACTCAAATCCTAGGCTATCCTAAGATTTGCTCCATCCACATCAAACCAGAACTCAGATCAATAATAACAGGTTGCCCTATGCATGCAAATTATACACAAAACAGGATCAAATAGACTTTCGAATAACAGACTCTACCCTAGGACCACAACCAAACAAGGAACAGGAAATAAGGCCAAATCAATCATTCTAAGGCTATAAGATCCTAACCGTATACAATTTTTAAAGCATACAAATAGCAAGAATCCATCCGACTATCACAATCCAAATATCAGTATAGCATGGCTAACATATTGGGGAACCACTTACTTGAGCTCGGCCGATTATGCGCATTGTATTCTCCCTTTTTCGGTTTTAAGAATTTTAACTTTGATTTTTGAAAACAATTTTACCATTTCCTTAGTTTGAGTCCTGACACACCCGAGAGTGTGCCCGAATCCCTCAAACCAAGGCTCTGATACCAACTTGTAATAGCGCAAATTTCCGATAAAATTTTTCATTTTAAATCACCAAAACATTTCCAAAAGATATAAAATTTCAACCACATTTGTTTTCCAAACCCATAACATCATATAAATTATTCATAAAATCAGAGTGTCCCAAATGAAACGTCGGAGAGTGCATGTCGCGTCATCACGCCGGGCTCTTGCCCTTAGATCCTGAAGTACCTGAAACAACCAAAAAACTGTAAGCTAATGCTTAGTGAGTTCCCCAGAGCATACCCCACATAATCACATAAACCATGTGAGCTATATCAGCTACATATACAACATAAGCCATGCATACAAACATATAAGGATGTGATGGAAACCCTCCAAGGTCTTACATCAGGTGCCACTGGAACCCCCACATGGTCTTAACCCACTACCATGGGAACCCCCA